GCAGTCTCGAAGAGGAGTCATTTTGAACTCAACATTTCCACTCCCCACTGATGCTGCCAGACCTGCTGAGTCTCTCCTTTTTTATATTTCAGATTTCCAGCATCTTCAATAATTTGCTTTTGTTTTAGTAGGAACAATGACTTGCACTAATATAACTTCTTTCAAGATGACAATACTTTTCGAGAAGTTGTCACTGATTGAATGCAGGAGCTGTGACAGTCAGTTTGTGTACGGGAAGATCCCAAAACCGCAATGTGATAACGACCAGATCAAATCTTTTTATTGATGTTGTTGAAGGATAATGTGATGAAGGGTCACGATATATCATCATTATTTGAAAGCTGGGGATCTGAAGTAGGAATAATCTTATATAGCTTTAAATTTGAGTTACATTTCTACATTCTGTGTGTGAAGAATGTTCCAGTGCAGAATGAGGCCATTTGTCCATTGTGCCTGTGCAGGCTCTTCAAATCAGCATCATTACCTGATGTCAATTTCTTGCTTTACCCCCGTATCCCTGCACACTATTTCTCTTCAAGTAACAAACTAATGCCCCTATTGAATGTCTCAATTGAACCTGCCTCCACCACATTTCCAGGCACCGCATTCCATACCCTAAACTACTCGCTGTGTGAAAAAGGGGAGACGAAAGGTTGAAAGTACCCATATTTTGACTGTGTTATTTCGGGGAGTTTCATTGAGGAGTTCCCTCGGTCAGCCACGGCCACGTTCCTCAAGCACCCTTCCACTGCTCCCATCATTAATTATGAATCCCACCTCCCAGTGCCATGCTTGTGCTATGTTGTGGTCAATGGTGGTGGAGGTGTCTGCCACAGAAACTGGCACCTTTTGGAATTCGAGATAACAAGGTGTAGAGCTGGATGAACACAGCAGGCCAAGCAGCATCAGAGGAGCAGGAAAGCTGATGTTTCAGGCCTAGACCCTTCTTCAGAAATCCTTTTGGCATTATCCTGTTCACCATGAAGGTAATTCTTATGAGCTTATTCACAAGAGGCCGCCAATGTACTTTCAACAAACAAAAATTTAAGTTTAATACACAACAGAAAAAAAACATGATCTCTATTACACTAAACACAAACTGTTTAAAAAATCTCAAAAAAGGTTAATCTTTTTTACCCCAGCAATGTCCTTACAGATATTTAAATCTTAGTGCAGAGTTTTTCACTACTATCTTCGCAATAAATCTTCTTGCTCAGCTGGCACGGCTTTAGTTAGTTTTCTTTCAGCAAATTTCTGCACGTTCAATAAATACTAATTTTTCCAGTTCATATCTCTCCCCGGGACCCTTAAAAGAAGCTGTTAACTCATTTTTACTCAACATGGGTTCCTTGGATTCCTGTCTTCAACTGTCTTGTATGTTGTCTTTATCTCTGACACTGCCTTCTGCTTCCTGAGTTTCCAAAGAGTTCTAAGCAGCTCAGGACCTCTTCCTGATCCTGACTGCCTGGAGACTGCTAATAACTGCACCTCTGCTGTTATGGACTTCTCTCTCTGAAATGAGCTTGATTCTGCACCCCATACTCTCTGAGCTGTAAAGCTGAAATTGGCAAACAATTATCTCCCCAGATGGCATGCTAAAATATCATGACTTCTTTGAAGAGCTGTTTTGACATCAGCGTTCCAAATGACGTTCTGCTCTTTTAAAATAAAAGTCAGACCTTCACAGGACTGAAAACAAAAAAAATCAAACTTTTCTTCATTTTAGGATTCAGGTGCTCAAATAATAACAATGTTTAAAAGAAATAAAAACAGAATAGGCCATTCAGCCCATTAAGCTGACTCCATTGTTCAACATGATCATAACTATCTCAACAGCATATGAACTTCATACCAATTTGCACAGCTTGATTTACCACTTCTACAAGTAACATTGGGTGAAAGGATTTAAGAACTGAGTTTGATTGCGAAACCAATGGTGCGGAATGGTAATCTCTTTTATTTGTCATTTTAAGGGCTTCAGGTTGAGTGGGAAAAATGATCTTGCAGCAATTTTGAGTCTGAAGATACAGGTGCCTATGGTCACAGTTTCAAGGAAAGAAATATCCAAGCTGGAATCCATAAATATAAGAGAGTCACAAATAAATCGAGAATTCAGGAGAAACATCTTTAGCAGAGTGTGGCTACAGTGTGGAAGTTGACGCCAGTTAGAGCAATTGAGGTGAATAACATGTGCATACTTCAGGAAAAACTACATAAACATGTGAGGGATAAAAGAATATTTTGAGTTACAAGGAGAACCTGAATAGGCTGGGACTTTTTTCACTGGAGTGTAGGAAGTTGAGGGGTGACCTTACAGAGGTTTATAAAATCATGAAGAGTTTAGAAAAGGTGAACAGCAAATGTCTTTTCCCCGGGGTGGGGGAATTTCAACACTAGGGGCATAAATACGGAAGACTTAAAAGAAAGACAAGGAGCACAGGGAGTGGTTCGTGTTCCAGAGGAAGTGGTGGATGCGGGTACAGTTACAACGTTTAGGAGACATTTAGATAAGTTATGAATAAGAAATATTTGGTGGGATATGGGCCAAGCACAGGCAGGTGGGACTAGTTTAGTTTGGGATTATGGTCGCATAGACTGGTTGGACTGAAGGGTCTGTTTCCATGTTGTATAACTCTATGATTCCAGTAGAAGGATGTGTTGTCACAAGATGAAGAGAGGTGGGCTGAATGGCCTGTTTCTGCATTGTATGCTCTGTGCAATTGCATGTGAAGCACAATTGCAGTTGGTGTGATATAAAGAAAAGCAGCACATAACTGGCTGGAAGGGGCATCAATGAGGGTAATCTGTTTGATCAGGCTTTGTGCGAGGGAATAATTCAATCATACATCCAAATATGTTCACTGACAAATCCTACAGTGCAGAAAACCTCTCCGAGAAGCGTGGTAACAGGGATTTACTGTTGTTGCCTTACAGCAATCCTCTTGCGACAGAGCCCCAGATAACGGCAGCAGTTTTTCTTTCTAAACATTACTGAGATGTCAAGGTGAAAGGGTCAGGAGGTACGATGCAGGCACCAAGGCTGGAGAGGGAGCGGGTGGTAGAAACAGAGAAGAGTTATAAATCAGGAAATCTACTGTGCATTTTAAAAGCCTGGAGATTACTGGAGGAAGGACAGAAAGATGAAGACAAGGACTTAAACGCATTTGAGTTCACAGGGGAAAAATTAAATTGAGATAGATTGCAGGATATGTTCTGATTGCAACATAGTAAGGACACTGTGTGAAGGAAAGGGATCACATGACTTTTATTTATATTTATTTGTAGGATGTGGGTGTCACTGGCCAGGACAGCATTTATTGCCAATTCCTTAATTGTCCATAGGGCAGTTAAAAGTCAACCACTTGTAGCCAAACCAGGATTGCAGTCTCCTTCCATAAAAGGCATTTGTGAACCAGATGCGTTTTTCCTGACAATCAACAGTAGGTTCATGGTCATCATTAGACTCTCAATTCTAGATTCTTATAGAAAATTTGAATTCAAATCCCACTTCTGCCATGACAGGATTTGAACCTGGATCGTCAGGACATGAGCAGAGTCTTTAGATTATTAAGTTTAGCAACAATACCATTAGGTCACTACCTCCTCTTACAGGCTGGGTAATTTTTGCAGTGAATAAGAACTGTTAGCTTGAATGCGTTAGTTGCACATTACCAGCACAGGCAGCCTAATAAAGAGTTTGTATATCTTCATGGTCCAGGTATTAAAAGTGGGTGAGACAGAACATTCAGAGGTTTGAAATGAATGTGCAACTCCCAGTGTAAGGAAAGAATGATGTCCATTTATATCGGCCCTTCCACAACCTCAGGATATCCCAAAGTGCTTTATAGACTTGCTGAATTTCTTGGGGTGGCACGGTGGCTCAGTGGCTGGCACTGGGTTTGATTCCACTCTTGGGTGTCTGTCTGCGTGGAGTTTGCATGTTCTCCCCCTGTCTGCGTTGGTTACCTCCCACAGTCCAAAGACGTGCAGATAACAAGGTGTGGAGCTGGATGAACACAGCAGGCCAAGCAGCATCAGAGGAGCAGGAAAGCTGACGTTTCGGGTCTAGACCAGCTCTACACCTTGTTATCTCAGATCTCCAGCATCTGCAGTTCCTACTATTTCAAAGACGTGCAGGTTGGGTTCTGCACATGGAAATTGTCCTGTAGTGTCCAGGGTTGTGTGGGTTAGGCAAGTTAGCCATGGGAAATGCAGGGTTACAGGAATAGGATTGGGGGTGTGTCTGGGATGAATGCTGTTCTCGGGGTTGGTGTAGGCTGAATGGCCTGCTTCCAACTGTAAGCATTCTATGAATGGTAGTCACTGTTGTGAAAGCAGCAGTGATTGGTAACCACATAAATCTGTTTTTAGTGGCTTTTCTTGACAGATACTGAGTTAAACAACACTTAGCCTCTTCTGAAAAATATTGCTACTGGACCTTTCATATCCAGCTGACAGGCCGGAGAGGATACTCGTTTAAAGTCTTGTACTGTTACCTACCATTTATTCATCTGTTGTAAGAGTTGATAACGTTAAAGTGAGAGCTGCAAAAGTCCTTTGCATAACAGAACTGGACCAGAAGTTGAGCCTAAACATTCACAGCACCTGAGCACAAACCCGATATAAATCCATTCATCACATTGATTCAGAGCTAAATGTTCAAAAGTGGAAGATTCATGGAAATTCTCTGTACAATTGTAATGCAATATTCTGAAACTTTCTCTTGAGCCTTTTGATGAATTGGAGCTCAGGATGAAATAAATGCAAATTTACAGCTGGATGGGAATAAAGAGGCACATGGCATGTGGTAATGGATATGTACTGATCAAACTGCCTCTGAAAAGATTGAGCAAACGATAAAGCCCTTTAAAGTAGAAAATGTGCTTAGAAAAACATTGCCTCGTAAAAGTGACATATACCGGTTTCTTTGCAACTGGTTCACTTCCATCCGTGAACATACCGGGAGTTTTCTTAGAAATAAGAGGATAAAACTTAAATACCTCACAATGTTTTGTTGAAATCCTTGCTCTCTTTACCTGTTGACGTTGATGACCTTCTTTGGAGAGATTATTTCTAAGTACTGTACTGGGATGTGAACGCTGGAGCCCGAGCTGTATTCCTCCAATATGTTAAAATGAACTGACCTTTAAACATCAGCTGCATTCAGAAGCCAAATGAGACCAGATGACGTTTTATGTAATTTGATGCGATTTATAAATGATAAGGGGCTGTATATTTAAACTTTTCCTCCATCTGTGCTCAGCAGACCTTGGAAATTCATGTCCTCTCTATATTTCATCAAGATCCAATAAAACCATCAACATACCAAATGCAAACAAGGCACAGACTGTCAGTTCCCTGAATCTCCTGTCTTTTTATTCAACTCCAGTTTTACAAAAACAAGTGACTAAATGTACTCAAATTACTTTCTAATTGTAAGAGCAAGAAACTGCAGTTGAAACAAAATTGATTTGAGATTTCCAGCATTCCCAGTTTATTGCTTTTGGTCTGGTACTTAGTTCACTGTCAAGTCGCTTCCAGAATTGACTGCCTTCAGGAAGTGAATGTTTGCTATTGTTGAATGTTTTTTAAGGCAAAAATAGATGGATTTTTGAACAGTAAGGGAATTAAGGGTTATGGTGAGGGGGCAGGTAAGTGGAGCTGAGTCTGTGAAAAGATCAGCCATGATCTTATTGAATGGTGGAGCAGCCTCGAGGAGCCAGAAGGCCTTTTCCTGCTCCTATTTCTTATGTACTAAATGCTCCTCTTCCTTGTAGTGGGATTTCTAATCGTTTCTTCAAAATTTCAGGGATAATCTTTGATCCCAGTAACCTTCAACTTTTTCTTCAACCTTGTCTAACTTCCTGTTTTTCTATTTCACTCCTAGTATGTGACCAGCTTTCTACCATAACTCAACGTCTTCCTTTGGTCTTGCGCAATGAAATCTATTGTCATTTGAATCATTCCTGTTCTTCAACCCACCACAGATCCTCCCTTTTGTTCTTTTCCACACTATTCAACCTTTTACTCACTCAAAACCTCCTGTACCTCTATCGTTTCCCAGTTGCGATGAGTAGTGATTGGAACCAGGTGGATCTTATTGACTACAAGATCCTTGAGTGGGGTTGTTAATCTGGGCCACGAGGGGAACCTTGACTGACAGGTATAAACAGGGGATGCAGAGTGTGTCCAGACTTTAGGGGCTAACTCTGAGCTTGCTAGCCAGTATGTAAATAAAGGGTGACTTGTGACAGGATACCAGCCTCTGTGCAGTTATTTCATGACTTGAAACGTTGACACTTCTTCTAACTCCACAAATACAGCAAGATCTGGGAAATGACGTGACCACACAATGTCCCAACATGTCTCCTATTCTCCAGGTAAAGGTGGTATGGCAAAAAAAACTGGGGTCAAAGATTATTCCTGATTTTTTGGTTGGCACTGAGGCAGTGACATTGTGAAAGTAGATGTACCGAACTTGTTGTTCCACTGATGCTGGACCTGCTTCTCATCTCTTAAAACACATCAGTGAGATCAATATGACCTTATGTCGATTCACCTTGTTAAATAATCATAGAATTTACAACACAGAAACAGGCCATTTGGTGTAACTGATCTATGCCAGTGTTTGTACTCCACATGAATCCTTTACCAGTTGTGCTGTCTTCCCCAGATGATAACTGCTGGCACCTAATGTTATTTGCCACCTGTGCCAGTATCTGATCCTGGGTAAGCGTTGTTTACTTCCATCAATTGTCCTTTGATCTTTGCTTTGCCTTGGGTCTAGTGATTAGTAGTAGAGTGTTTATCACCATCGAATATGTACAGAAGAGACGCTGTTCTTACATACAGGTAGTTCTCCTATAATGCATTCTTATGTGACTTCGCGTTACAGAAAATCGTGTTATAGGGAAAGCAGAAAGTTTGCATTATCCAAAATGCATCCACTATTCAGCAATTGTGTTACAGCCAATTCGCATTAACAAAACATACGTTATAGCAGAACTACCTGTGCAATGTTTATTGTAATTTAGCACTGGGTGCAACTACATAATGAAGAGGACCTTAGGGAGCTGGTACAAATAGATATGCTCTTTCTTGAAAGCTCGAGTAAAAGTCCTCACCTCCACCCACCCACTGTGTGTGACATCAGTAGAATGTGGGGGAGTCAATGCATAATTAACCCTTTCAGGGTCATTAACTTATACAAAGCCACTATTTCATCTAACCCTGACAGCATATCAGTCTGTTCCATTCTCTTCCATGCATTCATTTAGATCATCTTAGAATCCCTACAATGTGGAAACAGGCCCTTTGGCCCAACAAGTCCACACCAAACCTCAGAGCATCCCACCCAGACCCATCACCCTTTAACCTACACATCCCTGAACACTATGGGCAATTTAGCATGGCCAATCCACCTAACCTGCACATCTTTGGACTGTGGGAGGAAACCAGAGCACCCAGAGGAAACCCACACAGACACAGGGAGAATGTGCAAACTGCACACAAACAGTCACCCAAGGCAGAGGATTGAACCCAGGTCCCTGGCACTGGGAGGCAGCAGTGCTAACCACTGAGCCACCATGCCACCCATTTAGATTCCTCTTATGTGCATCCAAGCTGTCCAAGATAACTTAGCCTTCTGGGTGCGAGTCCCACATTCTAACTACTTTCAGCAGAATGAAGTTATCCTGAATTCCTTGTTAGATTTATTGGCGACAATCTTATTTTAACGACACTAAGTTTTAGTCTCTATCACAAAGGGGAACAGATTTTCTAAATATAAATGACTGAACCTATTCTTTATTTTAAAGATCTCTATCAGCTCACCCGTCAGCGTTTGCTTTTTCAACCTCTTTGGTCTTTTTCCTGCTGGAACGTTTTGAATTGAATTGCATAAGCTTTATTTTCACATGTACTCAAATGAACACAGCGAAAAGTTTACAAGTCACCACTTAGGGCACCATCTTAGTTACAAGGTACCTTGGTACAGATTCTTCAGCACAAGTTCTGAGGAAAGAAAAATTAGAAAAATAAAGAAACAAAAAAGTCCAGCATTACAGATTGTAGGAATATGTTAGAAAATAGAGAAATAAAATGTGATAACCTTCTGTGCTGAACTGCCCCATGTCATTTGTAGATCCTGGTCAGGAAAACACTACCAAAGTAGTTGCATCATTTGGTGTTAATGTGGAAAACACAGTTTATTTTTACTGAGAGTCTTTCCTGGCTAACCTTGCAGTTGTTTTTCTTTGCGTTCTTTTTAATATTTTCACTATTCTACGTGCTCAGGGTGGGGTTTGCTGTACAACAGTGACTTGTATTCATATTGAACCCTCAAAATAAATAACATCCCCTGCCCCAATCTGCTATCTAAATTGGACTGATATGGCTGCCCTTTATTAGGGCCAGGAGCAGCAACAGAAACAAGTGGGGAGCTTCGGGGAATAAATGTTGGGTCCAGCTGAGGGATCAGGAATCTTATGGGGACAGAGTGGAACACTGGACTTGATGTGAAAGATTAGCAGAGATCATAATCGACCTCAGAGTTTGACACTGTGTGGCCTACTTCTAACCTTACTTCCTTCATCACAGCACCTCCTTGTGACAGTTAAGATCAGCACAGTTCTGGTTTTCTCTTTTCAGCGGTTATTTTAGGCTGTTGTTGGAAACATCTGCAACATCATTCAGGCTGTTGTGCATTCACTGTAAAGTCAGCCTCACATATATGTTGTTCTTGCCATGATTTCCGTGCATTCCCCGTGGAATTGCTATGAATTGGTGGGAAAGGACACAGCAGTTCACAGCCTTCATTCCCACCAGTGCAAGGTAGTGTCCGACATCTGTTTTTCAGATTAGATGCTAAATCTGCATTGCTTTCTCAGGTGGCTGTGAAATCTCCCCCAGTATTACTTGAAGGGGAGGGCAGTTCTTGTTGGTGGTTCTGGGCAATTTCCATCTCTCAATCAACACTGAAAATAAATTATCTGTTCCTGTATCTATTAGTTGTATGAGGGATTAAAGAAAAAGCATTCATGGGAAGTGGGCTGGGCCAGCATTTATTGACCATCCTTATTGCCCTGGAGAAGGTAGTGGTGAGCTTCCTTCTTGAATCACTGCAGTCCATGTGCTGTAGGTAGGCCCACTTACTGTTAGTGATTGGATTCCAGGATTTTGAACCAGTGGCAGTGAGTGAACATTGATATAGTTTCATATGTTACTACTCTAGTAACCCAAACCCCAGATTAAGGTTCTGGGCACATAGGTTTGGATCCCACTGTGGCAGATGGTTTAGGTTTGAATTCCTTGAAAAAAAAATGGTTAGACCCCACTTGGAGTACTGTCAGCACATCTGCACATCTCAACTTAGGAAGGATAGCCTGACCTTGTAGGGAGTGCAAAGCAGGTTTACAAGAATGATACCTGGATTTCAGGGTTATGAGGAGAGATTTGACAAATTAGGCTTCTTTTCTTGAGAATTTGGAATAGAGATCTGCTTGAAGTCTTCAAGATATTAACAGGAAAAGACAGGGTGGATAAAGATAAACTATTTCCATTGATTTAGGATTCCTGAGCTCGGGGGTATTGACTGAGAATTAGTGCCAGACCATTCAGGAGAGATAACAAAAGCCGAAGTTGCTGCAAATGCTCAGCGTTACTGGCAGCATTTGTGAAGAAAAGATCATAGTAAATGTTTCGGGTCTGGTGACCCTTCCTCAGTTCTGATTTTTTTCTTCACAGATGCTTCCAGACCTGCTGAGCATTTCCAGCAACTTCTGTTTTTGTTGGGTGACTTATAATTGTCCTCTGAAATAGCCTAGCAAGCCACACAGTTCACAGGATTATAAATGCTGACTGAGCTAAGGGCACTTCATGTTGCATCACAGAAAAAGACGTGGAGAAAATGCTGCTAAATTATAATCCAATACTTTTAGAAGCAATTCAGTGAATAAAATTGCACAGAGATTTGAGAAATGTAACTCCTGTTTTAAAGTATTGGGGAGCTATAAAAATTACACATGCCTAATCTCTGTAGTTCTGAAATGTTGGCACTACTTCAGTTCTGGTTATTTTCACATCCCAGATTTTCTTCACTCCAACATTGTTGGGCTTCATT